GAATACCTCAGTGACTGTTTGCTGTCTAGCTTCACAATCACGTCTTTGAATGTGTGTCTCGCTGGTTCACCAGGCTGCAGTCTAGTGTCAATTAACAAGTGCAGTCCTCACTCGCGAGTTATGCTAAACTGAAAACCACTGTTCAATGACTTTCTTCCATGCCACAGCTGCTAACTCCAGTCACCTCGCGGGCAGCATTTCATACGTGGTCATGCCTTTGTATTGTATACACGGTGCAAATGCACTGCTGATCTGTGTCTCCTCATATCCTTCAAGCCGTGTTAAGCATCTTCTTCAGTTCAACTTTTGTCCCACCCCAAAATACGTGCATTTGATTTAACAAAAATAGATTTCCTTCCGCTGATAATGAAGTTTATACAGAATGAACACTCTGATTCATCCAAAACTCAAAACTTTCCTTGTGCTTATGTGTGCATGCACCCACACAGATGCCCAGTGTTTAGGCCAAACAGACAGTAGCAGGGAAGTGCACCATGCCTGTACAATTAAAGATTACTCACCTAATGCCTTGCAGAAATTGCTGTCTTATTTACGTTTTACACTAATTATCTGATGAGTGGGTTGCTTGCAATCAAGACTCCTTAGTTGTTTAGTCAGATTTATCATTTCTTTGCTCGAAAATTAAAATTCAGTGGAATAAAAAAAAGCTTGAAATTAAAAAAAACAAATTGTTATCAGTAATAAGAAAACACGTTAACATTTTGCATTATGGATTTTTAGTTTCCATCCACCTCTCCCTTTCTCCTTCCTGTTGTCTTTCTCTAACCCCTTTCACTCTTTCCCCTTTGTCCTCCTATTCCTCATCTGCACCCCCCGTGCAGTCTCTTCCCCTTCTCCCTCCCACCACTATCTCCTCCTTCTCACCCACTCCTCTTCTCCCACCCCTTCCACCGCCAGCAGCCTCCTGCTTTTTGTCCCTAATTGTACTGACATATCTTTACCCTGGCAGATATAATAGCATACCAGACAAGCCACTCTCGCAAATTTGTTGAAAGAGGTTTAATTTCTACGTAAAAACAAGGCTGTCTCATAATTGAGCTCTGAAATATCAGCATTTTCATAGGCATTCAAAGACATGCATCTTTTAAGCTTCTGTGACCTGCTTCTCTCCCAGATGCATCAACTGACTATGTACAAATTAATATATTATCAGTGGATAATTATCCTTTATCCCTCTCTTTTACCCCACCACCTGCAGCTTGCATTATTCTTGTGCATTTAACCTAGTACATTGTAACAACGTGCTTCATAGAAGTTTTCTCAGGCAAATTTTGACGAAGAACCACATGGGTTATTAGGTCAGTTTACCAAAAGCTTGATTGAAGAGTTAAATTTTAAGAAAAATAAAATGGTGGCAGGGAAGGAGACAGGTTCAGGGAGGGATTTAAAGTTTAGAACATATGCGGTTGAAGGCACAGCCGAAAGAAG